TCCTGCTGGTTTCTATGTTATAAGAAAGACAGGAAAAATGGTTTGGATTTTTAAGCATTTAAAGTTTTTATTCCGCATTCTAAAGAAAAATACCAAGCCATCAAAATGTTTTTTCCCTTTATAAGCTCCTGTAAACAGCTAAAAGTATGATTTGCTAGAAAGAACCAGTAAATTACTCTGTAAAGAGAGTCTAAGTTGAAAACTGGTTGTATTTAAAATTGAAAACACAACTTTTTTCATGCATAGCAGTTTGCCTAAAGCTAGAGATGAAGAAGGATTTGTCCTGTTCAGAGTGAAAGTTTGTCTTAAATGCCTAAAAGTGACCTCAGTCAACAGGGCACTTTTTAACACAATTTTTAAAACTTGTGGATGAAAAGTTTTTAGTTTTGAAGTTTAGCAGTGAAGAGTATTTAATGTGTGCGCAAGAAAATAAAGGCAGGAAAAACTTTTGTACGCAAAAAAAAATTCCACAAAAATAAGGGTTTAAATATTTGTGTTCTGTAGATGTGTATTAGTTTGCAGTCTTGAATTGGTAAATTACATCACTCCGGGCACAGTCAGCAGTGATGTAACCTCTAGCAGTTTGCAGATGGCTATGCGGCTCACGACCTGCTATTTTCAGGAAAATTTATCTATGAATGTGTTGTATGGCAAAAGGTAATAACAAGGAGCGGGGATCATTCCCAGATGCTCTGCTGAATCTTCAAAAGCACAAAGCTTTACTAACTGTACGTGGTGCATCCACTCAGTGATCTACGAAAACAAATTAGGCAGGTTTTTTGGTTTCCGTTTAGCTTGGCTGTTTGCTGAAGAAGCTGTTGTTTCAGCCTACTGAATTTATTTTCTTTAGCAGAGGACAGCAGCTGGTTGATTCTTTCCACCCGAAAGTTCAAGAAATGTAATAATGTGCATCGTTCCATTGTTTTTGCCCTGTCCCACACGTTCCTGGAAGGCCATGCAAGGGAGAAATAATTCAACAGAGCAAAGAACATAATGGCCTCACATTTATTTTTTTCCCTTTCCATTTCTTTTATGCAGAAACTCCAGTATTTGTTTCGAAGGGAAAGACATCTTTATGTGAAGGACCAGTGCTGATGCAGCGCTGAGCAGTGCAGTGGCAATTTCCTGCCTCTGAGGCATATTAACTCATGGCACTCCATTCTCAGTTATTTGAATTTCCCTTGTGTCTTCGAGTCCAAAAAAAAACAACCCAACCAACAAACTTTGCAAGCAAATTTGGGTTAAAAAAGAATCCAACAAGCTGAACCTAGAGGCTAGGAAATATGTCTCTAAACTAGGTAATGCCTGTGGGCATAATTGGCCAAGCATCTTGGCTGTTCTGTGTGTTGTGAGAAATTCATGACAATAACATACATCCCTCTGCAGAAAAGTCTTGAGGCTTCGTTTGTTCATATTTTTCAAGAATTTTGGAGATACTCAACTGTATTTAAAGTGTTATGGCCTATTTTTCTCGAGCTGCTCAAACTCTCCTGAAATATTCTAGAGATGAGAGTTGGTAAATACGAGAGAGGAAAGAATTAAATGGAAACCAATGAATATTTTACAGTGGGTTTGTTAGCAGCACTAGAATGTAGAGGTTATAGTAAGACAGTACACGTCCCATTATTAGGCTTTTTCAGAGACAAATGCGTGCTTTACTAATTCTTAGCAGTTTGAATGTATGTAACATTGCAGAGCCATTAAATGCTTGTTAAGATTAAAGGGCCAGTTGCCACTGGAAACTAGAATACTTGCTGAAGACAATTACTTCAGGACTTCACAGGAGTTACATGGTTTTTCTTGAGGTGTATCTGATCAATGTTAGACTTCCCAAATGGTTAAAGTGGAAATATACATATTTATTACCATCATCTCTTCAATGTGGTTTCCCAGCGTAAAGGTATTTTCTTCTGCAGCAGTTTAGAGAAACATTGTATGCCAAAGAGGCCTTTTTTCAAAGTACAAAGCACTCCTGCAGGAGTGCTCTCTGGCAGCACGAATTTTGCAGCTAGCCTTTTTTTAGTAATGGCAGAAAGTCTGAAAAAGTCTATTCAAGGCTCACTGTAGGCAGAAAACAAATAATTTTAAAAAATTCTTTTAATTGTGTGGTTGTGCTACCTTACCGCTAGGTTTTTCCTGTTGTTTTTCTCTTGTGTGTGTAGGCAGTTGTTTTTACATTTGTACAGTATATGTTCTGCATGTCCAAGCAGAAACTTTGCAAAAGTAGAGTTTAACAGTTTGAAACAATCCACAGAAAAGATAATCCTCACTTTGGTGATGATTTCATAGACCTCTAGAACATACAAAGCACTGAGGAAAAGCACCAGGATCTGACATTTTAGTAAGAATCTAAGCAGTAACTTTCCCTTCCCCATCTATGCTTAAACTGCTATCCACAGAGCACTCTGGATTTTATTTAAGGAAGATCTGGGGTGGCTTCTGCATTCAGAATTACTCATAGACTGACAGCATCAAGCAGAAGCAGTAGAGTCTAACTTTGGAAGGTGCTTTTATGTTAAGGATTTAATTAAATAGATGACAGTAGAGATTAGCGACATGAGCCGTGTTAATGATCTCCGGGATTCTGCTTCGCCTCCATTCTGCTCCAATGCAGTAGTGTTGGATTTCATCTTCCTTTAGAAACGTGGCTTGCAAATTTTGCTATGTGCAACTTCAGTATCATGTGTAGTTGGAGAGAGGGGCAGTATCAAACTTCATTTATTAAAGCGTAGTCGACACGCTGGAGGGAAGGGATGCCATCCAGAGGGACCCTGACAGGCAGGACAGGTGGGCCTGTGTGAACCTCATGAAGTTCAACAAGGCCAAGTGCAAGGTCCTGCACGTAGGTTGGGGCAATCCCAAGCACAAGTACAGACTGGGCGGAGAATGGATTGAGAGCAGCCCTGAAGAAAAGGACTTGGGAGTGCTGGTGGATGAGAAGCTCAACATGAGCCGGCAATGCGCGCTGGCAGCCCAGAAAGCCAACCGTATCCTGGGCTGTATCAAAAGAAGTGTGGCCAGCAGGTCGAGGGAGGTGATTCTGCCCCTCTACTCTGCTCTCATGAGACCCCACCTGGAATACTGTGTTCAGCTCTGGAGTCCCCAACACAAGAAGGACATGGAGATGCTGGAGAGGGTCCAGAGGAGGGCCACGAAGATGATCCGAGGGCTGGAGCACCTCTGCTATGAAGACAGGCTGAGAGAGTTGGGGTTGTTCAGCTTGGAGAAGAGAAGGCTCCAGAGTGATCTTATAGCAGCTTTCCAGTACTTAAAGGGGACCTACAGGAAAGCTGGAGAGGGACTTTTTACAAGGGCATGTAGTGATAGGACAAGGGGCAATGGCTTTAAACTGAAAGAGGGGAGATTTCAATTAGATCTAAAGAAGAACTTCTTCCCTCTGAGGGTGGTGAGGCAGTGGAACAGGTTCCCCAGAGAAGTTGTGGATGCCCCATCCCTGGAGGTGTTCAAGGCCAGGTTGGATGAGGCTTTGAGCAACCTGATCTAGTGGCAGGTGTCCCTGCCCATGACAGGGGGTTTGGAACTAGATGATCTTTAAAGTTCCTTCCAACCTAAACCATTCAGTGATTCCAAGTTCTATAGTAAAGGAACACCCTGCATAATATGTGATCTTGCTCATGAGAATTATGAAACATTTCCATTTCAAACTGTAAGGAAAGAGATAGATAAAAATTATTGTGCTACTCCCTTAATGAAGAGGGTGGGAGGAAAGGATTAGTTCTTGCATTCTAGGGAGGTACCTTGAAATAGCCATTTGAATATACCCCAAACACTACTCAAATACTTGCATAAAGACATTTTATTATGAATGCAATGTATATATAGATATTTTTTTTCTTTTTAATGTGAAGTGCTTATATAAACGGACCCATACTGGCTGAATGACCGTTAGTTTGCAGGGCATGACAGCGGCTGAACACCCCTCAGCTCCAAAGCTTTGCTGAAGTTAATCTCTTGAGGTTTAGCAGTACCCTTGGTGAGCTTCAGAAATCGAATACATCCTTTAAAACGGATATTAGTGGTCAGCCCAAACTGGGTCACACCATCTGAAGGAGGAAAAAAAAAAAAGGCAAAAGGAATTAGACTAGTTTGAGTTGATACTTAAGTAAGTTTGTTCTTTGAGAGTCCTGCAGGAGAACAGATGTCCCCAGCAATATACTAACGTGTTTTATTTGCTGTATATCTTTATTAAAAAAATGACAAACATTATGAGTGAATGTGATAAATGCTTATGTTAGTGGTAACAATCAGTCGTCTTTCCTTTTTCTGTCCTAGCATGACAGTGGCAGGATCTGAACACATTTAAGCTGCCATTGTAAACCATGTAACTCAGTATGTGACAGAGATAAGGAAAACAACCAAATGGCAGCTTGCTACGTACAAAAGGTGTATGATGCATACATGCCAGTCCTGCACATCTCCAGCTTCTCAAGATATTTATTCACAGAATAACAGAGCAAAAAAAGGCCAAAATGGATGCAATTCTCAGCCCTAACATCATGGAAAAGCCAGTTCCTCAGTATGGACTTCAGGTGTCTTTTAAGGAATGGTTTTGAGAGTTTTCAAGCATTCCAATTTATTTTTTTCTTGCTGATAGTAAAGCCAGGGATTTGAGTATATCTCTCCCACTAAAGAAAGAGGGAATAGAAGTGAGGGTTGATTTGACTGGCAAGCCGGAAATATTTCTCTCAACTGCTTGAAATCCATGACCCAACTTGTTTCTCAGTGTTCTTCCAAGTGAAAAAGTGGCTACAGGGATGCACTCTGATACAAATCTATCTGACTGATAAAGTAAGGGTTGCAGAAATAACTTTACACCTGTAGAGGACTGACTGGCCATAGCATTATGCTGTTTCACAGAGGATAAGATGGTTGACTCCATCTGTCCCTCCTTGCACAAAGAAGAGTGATAGTAGGAGATGAGTACTGTCTGTTATGGATAGCCAGGAATTTATATACTTGCCCACACTCTGGTGGCAAAAAGTTTCTTGGCACAGGAAATTATTCACCAGCTAATTCTAGCTGGTTTACAACTGTTTTGCACTGTTTATGGAGCCAGGAGAAGCCTCAAGAGGACTGGAAAACACAAATGCTTACTAATATTACAAAATCCCGTGATACTAGGTTTTACATTTGTAATGAGGCTGTCTAGGTCTTGAGAATGTTAAAACAAATCTTGGATGAACTAGACTAGACAGCACGAGAAGTGTGAGGTGTTTAAATGTGCGTGTAGGTTTAGCAAATCATTTCATAACTTGCCATGTGGCTAAACTCAGGAATATCACTTCAACATGATGTAAGTGTAGGCTTGTTTTGTATAGATTGCAGTGTTATTTCCATTTGTTTCTCTTGCTATGTTGCTCTTGATGAAGAGTCCAGAACGAGATAATAACTCCATATGCAGTGTTTCTTTAGTGCTAGCTCCTATGCTAGAATTCTGTTTTGTTATAGAAAGGCTGCCACAAAGCCTCTTTCCTTCTGGCACATAGTCGTTGGTCCTTATCAATAGTCACTGTGACTGGAGTACAACTCTCCTATCTCAGTTATCAAGAATATTTTTGAAAACGTTCTGAAGCTTGAGAGAGAAGGGTTTTTGGATGCACTGTATCACACGTTAGAATGGGGGGAAAAACAACTTCTAGAAAATCATTTAGGAATAAAGTCAAGAGGTGTCTGCCATTGACCTCAGTACACACTACAACAGACACATACTGCAAACATACTTAGCCTTTTTGTTTGCAAACTCGATGGAAACTATTCCATCTGCAACAAAATTGGCACTTTGCAAACATCTTTCATTCAACATTCATCATTCAAGGCCAGGTTGGATGAGTCTTTGAGTAACGTGATCTAGTAGAAGGTTTTCCTGCCCATGGGAGGGGGGTTGGAACTAGATGATCTTTAAAGTCCCTTCCAATGCAAACCATTCTATGATGCTACGATCTTAATTGTGTTTTCAGAAAGTAAACTGCTATTAGATAAACTTATTAACAGATGAATACTAGCATTCATTATCAGCTTAGTGAAAGATGAAGCTAGGTACAGAACTCAGCCTAGTTCTGGATCCTGTTCAATTACCTCTGCATGAAGCAAGTTCTCCCAATACTCCCAATTGTCTCCAGAATACTGGGTAGCAAATTTTGATTAAAAAAAAAAACAAAACCACAACACTAGACCACAAGCAAAGACATTAATCAGAAAGAGATGGTGTCCTCTAACCTCTCTATGAAAGCTGTTGTCTACGTTCCTCAGATCCTCAGGTTTTACAGGCTGATTTACACACACAGTGCCCTGCCTCCTCCAAGGGCATATGTGCATTATTTAGTTAAATTTAAATTTGCCATTCTTAATTTAAATTTGCCAAATGCTGTTACTATTGAAACATAACTATTATGCTGTTACTAAACAGAAAGATGGAGGCTCTGTGTGTGTGGGCAGCCGAAGGCAGAAAGTCTGCCTGCTCCTCTGTGACAGTGCCTACATTTGAAACTGGGCAGGGGGATCTGTGAGAGCCCCTTTGTGCTGCAGAACTTCTTGTACCAAAATGCAGCTGGATGCAGAAATGAGCATCCACGCCAACGGATACAAACTTGGATGGTCTTACCCATCATCTTCAGCATACTAGTCCTAATTGCATTTAAGCCATTACCAAGGCAGTATTGCTAGAGCGTAAATAAAGCTTCATTTGTGTGTTAAATGCTCACCAGGATATCCTCCGACAAAGACAGGGTCATTAGTGTCTGCTGAGGTCGAGGCCCTGTTTGGGCTGTTTCCATCCACCTGTCTGTCATCCACAGTCAACTCTAAATGGTGTTTGATCTTGTTTGCAAGAACCTTGTGCCACTGTCCATCACACAAGCTGCCTGGTGCATCGGGCTCATAGATAGCAGAGAATCGGCCTGCACCATTGTCAACATGAAACATCACCTGAAAAGCATGACACGGAAGTCAGCTGGTTCTCAAAAACAGTTCTACAGTTCCTTTTGTTGTTTGGGGTTTTTTGTTTATTTAAAGTCAACATGCTCTGACTGCACACACTAAAGCTCTAATTTAATACCAGACTCTGAGTGGATTGCTGTCCCTCTGCAATCTGGGTTATGTCACTGGGATAAATACTAGTGGAAATATGCAAAATTGCTATATAAGTTGTCATTTTTCCTTTTTTTTGTTTTATTTTTCATTTCCCCTCCCCAAGGTTTTTATAGTGACAGATTATCGACTGGTTTTCCAGACTGTGAAATAAAAGATACACACAAGAAACTAATATTATTAATGACAAAGCTTTTCCTCAAAACTTTTCCACTTCTCACTAATTTAAGTCCAGATGTTGCAGCTTTAGCTAATTTAAGTCCTGATGTTACAGTTTTAGGAAACTCAAGTGTTACAAAATCTTTTAAAATTTCTTCGTAAAAGCCTCTTGATGTATGGGAAGTGGCAAGTGCTGCATAAAGGAGACCCCTGATGTTGACTGAGACACCTTGGGATTAGTGTAGTAAGCTTGCATATAAACTACCTATGCTTTCTAAAACCAGTCTCTATAAAGAGCCAAAAATGTTTTGCTACTCACTTTTCCATCTACTAATTCGATGCCAAGCCCATCCATTTTCTGGCTGCTGACTCCTAGGAGAACACCGTTCATTCGTGTTGTACGGAATTCAAATTCCACAAGCAGGTCTGTTCCCACTTTGTATGCACCAACTTGGAGAGAAAGGAGGAAGCGTAATAAAATGAAGAAAAGCATTTAATATGTTACTCCTAATAATCACACAAAGTATGTTGCCAGTAATGCAAGATAACTAACTCAGCATTATTAATGCACTCAATTTCATGTGAAATCATGTAAGTAACTGTTATGGTGGATGTGCTTAGTGTGGGACCTTGCTAGAAAGTCATATCCCTAGGCAAGACAACTGAAAATGATCAGCAAGAGTTTCAAATATTGGTGTCCCTTTGCCTCCAGTTAACAGGAGTTAGGTAGCACTGGGCATTTCCGAAAGCAGCATCTCCTCTTTCTCTGTTCTTTGCCTATCAGCAGAATTGCTGTTCGTTACCTGTTTTGGCAAAGCCTGTTCCATCGAAGTATGTTCCTTTCTGTGCAGTGACAAAGCATTTTCCAACATTGAAGCTGGAAGTTGGCTTATCCAGGTCAACAGGTGATTCTGTCATTTTAAAACTTCTGATGCAGCCATCGATGCTATAGGTGACCTGCAGTCAGTATTTCAAACAAAATATATAACTGCAAAGTAGGCTGAAATGCTCAGAATAAAGGCTTAAAGTAAGTTATCAAAAAGTACCTTTCCTCTGCTTCTCTGCTGGATTTATGGAGCTGAATAAAACTTGAATTTTACATGGCTAATCTTTAATATCTGATTGTAATTGGAATCTAATCTCAGTCGTACTCAGGATGAATTACATTACTTTTCAGGGATGTGATCTGAGTCACATCTATTTGGCTTAATGGAAAGGACATAAAATAATATACTGCACAATGAAACATAGCGAATTGCATCAGCAATGCAGGAATTTAATGGCCTATACTTTACCTTTTTAATTGACTAGGTTATGGGGTTTGCGAGTAGATGAAGATACTGGATATAGTTCTCTGGGCTGCTGGTAATTTTACTAGGGTTTTCTTTTTTTCTTTTTATCCCCCCCCTTTAATCACTTTACTATGGGCCTAATGTTGCATGGTAAGACAGAGCTAACGTGGGTACACAGCTACTAAAATTAACAAAGCCACTACTTTTGTAAAGGTTGTTGACTGTACATAGTTCTTCCTATAATAACCATATGTAGGTCTGGTGACCACAGTGACAAGGGCCACTGTGTTGGCCAGAGAGGCAGGTGGAGGTGGGGGTTATGCTTGTGTGTATGGAGGCTTCTGTGCAGGGTGGCAAACTGCAACTCCAGTTTGGCTTCTGCACTGGGAGCACATTACTGGAACTCTGAGCAGATGATATGTGCACACTTAAGCTGGTGGTGTAAGTAAGTAAGATCTTGCCTCGGGCAGGAGGCTACACCCCGAGTTGCCCCAGGGCTCAGCTTCATGATCGGTGCATCCCAGCGGGACCTCTGAGAGCCACTGGCATCTCCCCCCACCACGAATGACCCACCCATGAGCTCTCCCTCCCTTTGCTCTCTCAGGTGTGCAGCAGCTGCATTTTGGTTCTCAGCTTTAGACAAAAGCTTTGATCTTTGACTTAAGAGTTAGGAAAATTTAGCCCTGATACCAGCAGGAAAGAGGAAAATGACAAACATGTACTTTGAGAAAGAAAAGGAAGATGTTCATAAGCAACGCAGCAGGAAGGATGAAAATAAAAGTCAGCATGTAAAATACCATGTAGAAGTATGTATAAATACAGAAAGGAGAAAGGCTCACCAGCAGAGGGAAGTCTTGACGCCCTCCTCTAACACCACCTCCTCTAGCAATATCCTGACTAGTAACTTGAAAGAATTTCCAAATAACTTCTTTCCTTGTAAGTCAAAGCTGGGTGTACTGTGGAATTATATAGCTTATGTACTTCTAAATACACCTGTACAAAGTTTTCATGAGAACTTGAGGAGTATCAGTGAATAAATTCCATTCTGAGCTGAGCAATGCTTTCTGTCAGCTTCTTCACAAATAGACGTTTTCTCATTTCTAAGTGAAAGTCCTCTCCAGATCAACAAGTTTTGTTACCAAAAAAGAAAAATGCCACAAAAGAAAACAAATCTTGCCATCTTCACTGTGAGAATAAATCACAGAAATGCAAGATTTGTAGACAACTTGATAACGTTCTCTAACTTCAAAAGTTCACTTTCCCTATGGAAAAGCAAACGTGGTAATAATTTAGCATGGTAACCGGCATTAGAACATCTTTGGCTGAAGGCAGAGTTTTGAGTGCTTAAAATGTGACATCTGCTGAAGCCAAATAAGTAGGCATCAGTCTTCTGCAATGAAGAGGAATCCAGCCCACTTACAGTTACGTATTAGATTAGCATCTAAACCGGTCGATGTGTGTTTAGCAGAAAGCCCTAACTAAGATATTACATGCCTTCAACTGGCCTGGCTTCAGAGCCGTTACATGAAGCCTACAACACGACACTGTTAATACATCATGTGGTGTATTTTACTGAGAATGATGGAAAGACAAGCACTGTTTTTTACCTTCTGTGAATGACATTTGAAGTCACAGCTTCATTTAAATCCCAAAGCACATAAGACTGTCAGAATCTGACATGACTGTTATTGCCAGACTGAGCCATTTATCTGCATGGGTTCCCTCCATTACTTCTGACAAGGAGCAATAGGTAAGGATTTAGTGTTACCTGTCTCCTTAGAGTAGTATTTTTAAATTGCAGATGTATTTCAAAGAGTGTAATTTGATAGTATTAGGAATTATATTTTGTGTGTAGTTAAGTATTGCTTTTGGTTTTCGGTGCCTCAGATCTGGTTTGGTAAATCCAAACAATCAGTAGATTTGCCTTAGTTCAGTCTTTCTGCACAATTTGGTCTTTCTGCACAATCCCAAATTTCTTCAGAAATATGATCTTACAGGTCAGTTTTCCTTATGCATCACAACTCAGATTTAGAGTGGTTACTTCTCCCCTTTATTCCCAATCCACGAGTTATTATAGTGACTTGTTTAAGCAGGATCTAGGAATTCCTTTTCTGTATTTATTTTGTTGGCTCGAACTGGTGGACTCTTGCCTGTCTATATACTAGGATTTGCCATTCCATAATAATCTCACTAGAATGGTATACACTCGTGTGCAGTTTCTTTGAGAGCCTGGTTTGTTTCCTTGTCAGGATCTGTGCTTTTGTCTTCTCTTTACCATTCTGTATAACCACTCAGAATGAGCCTAGATGTGGCTGCTACTGACATTCCAGGTTTTTTTTGTCCACATTGTGCTGTACTACATGCCTAATTTCTTTGCAATAATGAAGTTCACTCAAGTTCTAGCTTCTGCTTTGAAAGACCCCTCTGTGCAGAGAAAAATAATGCAGGGAAGAGGTTTTCCCTGCTTCTGATACTGGCATATCTTGGGGGGTGGGAGGCAGCGGAAGGTGAGATGATTGCCATGGAGTTGTGCGGTTAGATGCAGTAAATCGCCTGGGTGAAGGAATACAGTGTTCCTAGTTAATCCTACAAGGTTTCAGCCAAAATGGTATTCACCTCTCCGGGCTCTCTGTTTGCCACGATATCTTCTGTGTCAGTATGGAAGCTGGGCTTCCATTTAGACTGAAAGAGTGATAAATTGAAACGTGCACATTTGATTTGGAAACAGAAAGAGGAAAACATTTTTCATGGCCTTCAAAATACATTCTCTCCTAGTTTAGTAATAACAACACAAACCCAATTACTACAGTAAGCAGCTGTACTACTGAGTACATTGTCCAGAGTAATTTTGGCTTCTACTGCTTTTCTTAGGAGACATTTTCACTGTTTATTAGCACTTATTGCTAGATGAATTAGAGTTAAGAGAAAGGGCGAGTAGTATTCAAGACCTTACACTCTAGCTGTGCAGTGATTCAAGTGGATACAAGTGTATGGATCTCTCTGCTTTTCCATAGCAGTGACTAACTCTGCTATTTCTAGTTCTTTGCATTAACTGGATTCTGAGTCAGATCTTTCTACTGAAAGAATGTAGTGTACCTCCAGTAAGGTCCACTTTATCCATATTCTTGAGCAGTCTGAGGGAAAAGCAAAACAAAACAAACCTGGGAAGACATTGGTACCAATCAAGACATACTTAAGGAGTATAAGAGAACTTAAAACAAACTTGCTTACCGGACCAATTCTTCTAGTTGTGTAGTTAATGGGCAATCCTCCAACATACAGCATTCCCACAACATCTAATATATCAGCCTTCTTGGGGCTAACAGTCCTGTTTGAAACATCATCTACTATAAGGTTTCCTTCTTGCTTCGTTCGAATGACTTTTATCTAAAAAGATACACAAATGCAATACAATTACACATTTCTGACAACAAAGCGTTTCCAGATTGCAACTAGCCTTACAGTCCAAAATATATAGCAATAAGAGAGGAAGTAGTAGGAGTGGTTAGCAGAAATGCTGTGGCAGCAACTACAGATAACGTTCATGGAACAGAGCTTCTGCACAAGGTTTTGTGCAAACATATCACTGCCTTTTAATTAGCCCTGGGTCAGGAGGCATCATGACTATTATTTAGTAGAATTACTGAAAGGATTTGGAGTTCCTTCATTGTTACTATCTTAGGCATGCCACAATATTGTTTTCCTGGAATTAGACAAATTTTAAGTACTGGGAATGCTGAATATTAATGGCACCAGTTGCAAATTACAGCATGTGTTTGCAGATAATATTGAGTTTATGATTCCACTAGTTTGGATGTGCCTCAGAAGCGAGAGTAAATATAATGCCAACTATGTTTCGTTGGTATTATGGCCTCTGTTGAGATAAACGGCTGTGAATCGCATGGAGGAAGTGCAATTGCTGAAGCGTTGAGGAAATTCTACCCCAACAGCTGTAGGCCAATTTCTTTCCAAAGGTGTGTACTGAAATCTCTATGAATCAGTATAATAATGGTTCTGTATAAAAAGGGATAAAATGTGAAATGCAACATGCATATTAGCAGATTTCTAAACAGCACAGTAGTTAGCTCACCAGAGTAGCAAAGAGAGAGAAACAGCATTTTTCTTTGGCTTTTCTTTAACATGGCTGCTTCTGCGCCAGTGTGGCAGCACATCTGTCATGCAGTGGCAACGACTGAACACTGAAAAGGGGTGGCCTGAAGGCGAGGGACTGAACTTGGTGTTTATAGACAACTGTAAATTTGAGATGGATAATTACACCTTGGGCAGAAGGAGGATTTAGCGAGGGAGACAGGAACTGGGAATAGACACTTCTACAGAGGACCGAAAGAGAGCAGCAGCATGATGTGGCGCTATAATGAGGCCTGGCAGGAAGGTTTGATCGGTGCCCTAACTTCTGCAGGACTGATGGAAACGTTTCAACCTAAACCATTTCAAATGGAGAAAAGGTTCTCACGGAAAGGATTATTACAAAGAGAAACTCCTTCTTTCTTAAAAAACAAAGACTGTGGTCTTTTCTTAAAGAAGCTCTCTTTTTCCCCCTCCCAAAATGGGCTTTCTTGTGCTTTTTGGGAACTGTGACTTTGGATTTTGTCTCCATTCTCTTCTACAGAAATGGGATCTACAACAAGGGTCTCTGTCTTGCAGAGTGCCAAGCTGCATGCCTAAAGAGCAAGGTCCATTAAGAAATATATGCTCCAGTTATTTGTCTTAGAATATAGAGAAAACGGCTAAAAAAGCAAAACACATCTGTTCTGTACCTACAGAGGGTCTAGCAGAAAGGGGCCCTCCTCTACTGCCAAGGCTCCTAGACGTTATGTAAAACAGATTAATAGTGATTACAACTTTATTTTTTCCCTTCATGAAATACCTTGGTTTAGAGCATTTGAGGTCCCTTCCAACCCTAACCATTCTACAATTTGCTATCATCAAAAAGTTCATGAATAAAAATCCAGTGAAAATAAAATTTCTGCAGAACAGGGTGGGAACGAAGCAGAGAGGGACTAAGGATGACTGCGAAGAGGGTTTTGTAAGAGCAATTCAAGCACAACAGAAAATGCAGTTAGATTTCTTTCTCATTTGGTGATAGGGAGATGGATAGTGACTTTCCAAATATCTGTCTGAAATTTAATGTCTCTTAGAGGAGATAACCTGAATACAGTTACATGTATTGTTTTCTTCTCTGTCTTTATGGGTGCCTTCAAGCACGTTACCTATTGAATAGACTGAGAGTCTGTTGTCCTTGGCCCAGGAAATACTAAACTTCATGGTTGTGACGTTATTCCTTTCCTTACCATCCGAAAGCCACAGGCATTGTATATAAATGCTTCCTCTCATAAAGTCGCAGACGGGGCTGCCAAATACATCCATACATATCATATTTATCCCCTAATCAATTGCATTAATAATGTAGGGAAGATTTACTGAAATGTTTTTTTCCTTTTTTTGTTCTTAGCATTATGGCTGACATTATTAACATAGAAACAACTGGTTTTCATGATGTATTCCATCATCATGAGCTGATACTCACCTGAGCCCTATTACGCAGGAAGGAACATTTTCTGCACTTCCTTACTATACATGGGACGTATTCTAAATATGTCCACAAATATGTGTTTCCTGAAGGAGAAATTTCAAGGATCAGCACTAACCTTTTTGTTAGTGGAATATGTACAGTGTATTTAACACTGAATCTGAAAGCATGAATTTTGCAGACTATGGAAAATCCTAGTTGTAAAGTTTAGCTTGTATAGACTACATTTTGCAAATATCTTAAGGCAAAATGAAGCTCTCAGCACACCAAGAATAATTTAGCATTATAGAATCATAGAATCATAGAATG